CACACACACACACACACACACACACACACACACACACACACACACACCCCACCGTGCATTAATCCCCCCGCCATGCAGGTCGCCACTCTTGTGTTTCACCAACGCTTATTGGAGAGCGAAGGGACAGGCGAGAGCGGAGCGCTTCACGTGTACTCGGTTCAAGCATTCATAATTCAAAATACCTCGCTCGCTTCACCTTTCTGGAGAGCAAAGGCTGGGGGTGCGGAGAACCACAGTGCCCCGCTCGGCACAGAGACACGGAAATCAAACCCAGCTCCTTCTCCGTTCTCCCCTCCCCCTCCCCCGTTTCTCTTAAAAGGACTATTCTGTGAATTAATCCTTTGCGAGGGGGAGCCCAAAGACTGTGGGAGAAAAGCTAATCACTGGCTTCCCTGAGAGAGAATGTCCCTATTTTGCTTCACCTTTCCCTCATTTTTCTTTCTTCACCCCGCATCCCCAAACTGGGGTACCTCTCTGTACGTTCCTCAGAGCTTTGCTTGGTCCCCTTAATCCATCCAGAATGCGATCAAGCTGTAAAGCGTCATATATATATATATATATATATATATGCGCGCGCCATTTTAGCCTTTTCTATTAACGGTTCCAGAAATATCCTACAGAACCTGGGCTCATTTGGAAGGAAAACAAACCTACCTTTCAGTTTTTTTCGAAATTGGAGTTCAGCCGCTCCAAGCGGGCTGCCACGCTCATGAATTCCCAACACATCCCGTGGAAGTAAGATGCATATTGGAAAGATTGTTGAATGACAGTTAATTGAAATTCAGGAAGTTTGAGTCATCCCCAGAATCAGGGAAAGGAGAGACTCCGCGAAACCCTTTTCACGGGATTTCAGTGGCAGATTTATGCATGTGCTTAAAAGAGGCTGAAAGGGATTCCTTTCGGCTGTTTTGTGTGTCCATATATGCAATCTGGCACAATTCAAATACACGAGATTTTGGGCATAGGATCGCACCCGAACACATACTGTTGTGAACTTGGGGTTCCCTCTTCTTTTGGGGGGCTTACTTGCAATATGCTTAGAAGTGCAATCTTAAAAGGGGGACTCACTGACTTTAATGGGAGTTATTCCCAAGGACATCTGTATGGCCGGTCATCTTGCCATGAATAAATGCAAGCCAAAAAGAAAGGGACGAACTCATTCCCACGGACATTCACGGCACCTGCAAAGTTTCCCATTCACTTCGGTGTTGCT